GGTTTAATAATGTATGCAGCATTAAAACAGCTGAGGTAGAAAACTGTTTAAAAGGGATATGTGGTTAGGTATTTTTGTCATGACATTTCCAGAGCAAAGGCTGCATAGTGGAGAGGACCTGGGGGGAGGGATTGTAAAACAATAAAAGAATTTTTCTTTTACTTTTCCAGGAGGGTAGTGTACTATGAGGGGAGGGCTGGGAGGGGAGACAAGTGCAACAATGAATGAATGGAAATCCAAAATATCTATTAATTTTCATTGAAATTAATAATGAATTTTAAAAAATGATAAAAAAAAGAAATGATATATGTTCTTACGGAGACATTTAAATGGACAAATGATGAAAGGAACAATGTAAGGCACAAATAAAGAGAATAACCTAGAGATAGAGAACCAGAAGAATATATTGATATGGAGTTATTTGAACAGCTATGGAAAAGGTTACAAATGATGGAAGAAACAGTGGAAACCAGTAAGAAAGCAAATGCTACAGAGACACAGAGCCAGAAGAAATAAATCGATGAGGCGGAACCTGTACAAGTATGGAAGAAAATGTAAAAGATGGAAGAAAGAATTGAAACTACAGATAAAGAGGTACAAGAACTTAGACAATCATCACAAGGTAAAGAGAGTACAAACGACACAGTACTGGAAATAACAGAAATACATGAAAATGCAGTCCAGAAGAAGGCAAAAATGGCAGAAGTGTCCAAAATGCTTGAAGGACAAAAGAGTAGAACAGAAGAGATGGAGCAGTGTGTCAGTGAGCTGGAAGACCAGAACCTCAATGGAAATATACTAGAAGAAAAATCAAGAAATGTGACATAACGAAAATTATGAAAACATTAGAAACATGTGTGATAACATCAAAAGGAATATCATGTATGATTGTAATTACAGAAAATGACAGGGATAGGGAAATCACTGAAAAAGTGTGGGTGAGGTAGTAGAAGAAAACTTCCCAGGCATATGAAGAGTGAGGAGATCCACATTTAGGAAGCTCAGTGAACACCAAATAAACTAGACCCGAAAGGAGAACACAATCCATCATAGACAAATTATCAAAAATAAAAGATAAGGGTAGAATAGTGAAAGCAGCATGACAAAAATGAGTCATGTACGAAGGAAAAGCAATTTTATTTTCAGCAGAAACCTACACTATCACCACTTTTCAGTTTTCTTATAGAAGTATTTGCTAGGACAGTAAGAATAGAAGGAAATAAAAAGCATCCAGATTGGCAAAGAGATGGTTAAACTATCATTATATGCACATGATATGATAGTGTACACAGAAAATCCCAAGGATTCAACAAAAAAACCGTTAGAGCTAGTAGATTGGTTTAGTAGAGTGGAACGATACAAGATCAATATCCAAAAGTCAGTGGGATTCATCTGCAGTAACAAAGAAAACACAGAGAAGGAAAATAAGAAAGCAGTACCATTTACAATGGCGAACTACAAACTGAGATTCTTGGGAGTGAACCTAACTAGAGATTCAAATGTCCTGTACAAAGGAAACTACAGAATATTTCTGCAAGACACAATAAAGAACCTAAATAAATACAGATACCATATTCATTTTTGAAGGTGATTGAAAGGGAAATTGTCAAGTTTCTTTGGAGAGGAAAGAGACCCTGACTAAGCAAAACACTTCTGAGAAACAGGAATGAAGTGAGAGCCCTAGTACTCTCTGATCTCAAAAACTACTATTACACAGTTGTAATAACTAAAACAGCATGGTACTGGTACAATGACAGGCACATTGACCAATGGAATAGAATTGAAAACTCAGAAATTAATCCATCTGTCTATGGTCAACTGATAATTGACAAGGAACAAAGCCTATCAAATGGGGAAATGACAACCTCTTCAACAAATGATGCTGATGAATTTTGACCACTCCTTGCAGAAAGATGAAGCAGAATTCACAATGCTCAGTATAAAAAAACCCAAAACATCAACTCAAGGTGGATTAGAGACCTAAGGGTAAAGCCCTAAACCATAAAGATAAGAGACAAAGTAGGACCAATCTCAAAAGGCCTAGCTCATGGTATAAAAGAGGTGGACAAGCCTTTCTATGAAGATGACACCAAAAGCAAAGAAGGAAACCCTTGCCCCTCCCAAAACTGAAGCCAGAGCAAAGGCATTAAAGGCCAAGAAGACAGTCCTGAAGGGCATCCACAGCCAAAAAAAAGAGGAAGACCAACATGTTACCCACCTTCCGGCAGCCTGAGATGCTGAGACTCCGAAGGCAGCCCAAATACCCCCAGAAGAGTGCCCCTTGGAGAAACAAGCTTGACCACTATGCCATCATCAAATTTCCCCTGACCGCTGAGTCAGCCATGAAGAAGATAAAAGATAACAAGACACTTGTGCTCATTGTGGATGTCAAGGCCAACAAGCACCAAATCAAACAAGCTGTCAAGAAGCTCTATGACATTGATTAGGCCTGATGGAGAGAAGAAGGCCTATGTCCTACTTGCTCTTATGATGGTTTGGATGTTGCCAACAAAATTGGGATCATCTAAACTGAGTCCAGTTGGCTAATTCTAAATACAAATTTTTCTCACCATAAAAAAAAAGAAAGGTGGACAAATATAACTAGAAAAGCACAATCTGGAGAGAATAAAATTGTTAAATGGGACTTTCTAAAGATTAAATCTGTGCTTATCAAAAACTTTTCCAACAGGGTGAAAAGAAAGCCTGCTGGCTGGAAAGAAACATTTAGCACCTCAGACAAGGGTCTCATAAAAAAAGTATACAGAATACTCTTGGACCTCCAGAAGAAGAAAACTGATAACCCAATTACAGAATGGGAAAAAGACTTGGAAAAAAGTTTCACAGAGGAAGGCATTCGAATGGCCAACAGACACATGAAGAAATGCTCAAAATCACTGGCAATAAGAGAGATGTAAATCAAAACCACAGAGAGAGACCATCTCACCCTAGTACCAATGGCAAAGTTTAGTAGGGCAGCAAACAGTTAATATTGGAGAGAATATAGAGAGGTGGGAACTCTCATACACTGTTGGTGGGACTGTAAAATGGTACAGCCAATTTGGAAAAGCGTTTGGTGTTTCCTCAAAAAGTTGAACACAGAAACTTCATATGACCCAAGTATTCCATTATTAGGAATATACCCCAAGGAAATAAGAACTGAGCCACAGATTTGTAGACCAGTGTTCATAGCAGTGTTATTCACCATCGCAAGAACATGGAAACAGCCCAAATGTCCAACCACAACCAAATGGATTGAGAATTAGTGATACATTCACAAAATGAAATATTGTAGATCACTCTGGAGCAAAAATTTTGAAAATTACTATGTAACTTGGGAGAGTCTGAAGAGCATCATGTTGAGTGAACTAATAATTCAGTCGTATAAGGACAAATATTGCATAAGACCATTATTGTAAATATATAAGAATAATAATTATTGTTGTTGTTATGTGCTTTTGAGTCTATGCTGTGCCAATCTCACTGTCTCCAATACACCTACCCTGATTACCCCAGTCACTGAACCAATCCACCTCTTAGAGGGTCTTCCTCTCCTGTGCTGTACCTCCACCCTCCCAAGTATGACATCCTTCTCCAAGGATTGGTCCTTTCTGGCAACATGTCCAAAGTATGTCAGACGAAGTTTCAGAATCCTTGCCTCTAAGGAGCAGTATAGTTTAACTCTCTCTAGGATGAACATGTTTGTTTTCTTACAGTCCATGATATTTTCAGTACTCCAACACCCCAACTCAAAGGCATCAATTCTCCTTCTGTCCTCCCATTGTCTCGCTCTCTGATGCATAGCTAGTGATTGCAAAGACCATGGCCGGTATCAGGTGCACCTTAGTCTCCAGCGTGACACCATTATACTTCAGTACTTTGGAGAGGTCCCTAACAGCAGACTTTCTCATCGCTATATGCCTGTTAATTTTCTGGCTGCTAATGCCAAGAGTGTTGACTGTGCAGCCACGCAAACTAAAGCTGTTAACAATCTCAATCTCTTCACCATCCATCCTGATACTACCAGTTGGCTAAGTGGTGAGAATCTTTGTTTTCTTGATATTAAACCTCAATCCACATTGAAGACTACAGTCCTTGACCTTCTGCGGCAAGTGCTTCAGGTCCTCCTCAGTTTCAGCAAGTAGGGTTGTGTCACCTGCATAACGCAGATTGTTGATGAGTCTTCCTCCAATCCTGATGCCACACTTTACCTCATACAGTCCAGTCTCCAAATAGTATGTTCTGCCTATAGGTTGAAAAGGTATGGATATAGGACACATCCCAGGCATACACCCTTCCCAATTTTGAATCATGTAGTTTTTTTCCTTGCTCTGTTCTGAAGACTGCCTCCTGGTCCTACTATAGGTTTTTTCATTAGCATGATCAAGTGTTCTGGGATTCCCATTCTTCTCAGATTTAGCCACAATTTGTTGTGATCCACACAGTAAAACGCCTTTGCATAATCAGTGAAACACAGATAGACATTCCTAATGGTAGCTACAATATCCATAATACCACGACCCCTTCTAGACCCATCCTGCACTTCTGGAAGTTCTCTGTTGATGTGCTGTTCCAGTTGTTTTTGGGTAATCTTCGGCAGAATCTTTCTTGCATGTGATATCAGGGATATTAATATAAGGATAGCATGTATGGGAACTCAAGGAGGGGAGGGCTGAGGATGGGTAAGGGTGAAACCACAGAGTTACACAGATTACTGGGTGGGGGTGGGGGAGGGAAGTAAATGGAAAGGACGTGGGTGAAAAGTTAGTGTAATGATGGGCAAGTCCAATAGTGATTAATTTTAAAAAGCATAATGCATAAGAATAATTGTATGAAATACAATGTATATCAATTTTGTAAGCAAACCAATAAAGAAAAATCAGTACACAGTTTTTAGGAAACTGCTCATTGTGTATTATTTTTATGAATACTATTTGCTAGACAACACAATCTATAAAATTATTATTAATATAGCCTTTACATTACTTTTTTATCTTTATCAGGCTGTGCTCTAGATTATCAGAAAGGAACTGTTGTGGGGAGGTCCTTTTCTCTCAGCTGGCGAAGTCACCCAGATGCAACTGAGCCCATGAGGTTTAGGAGTGCAACCACATCTGGTGCCCCAGGGGCTGAAAAAGCAAGAAACATTGTTCGTCACAAAGCAACTGGTAAACGTTTATTTAAATATTTCTCAAAATTCTTTTTGCTGTCTAAAATTGAGTTACAAGTTCTTAACGTTTTAAAATTCTACTCAGATCCTAAATATTAGACCTGCTAAATTTGAAATATCCTTAAAGTTAATTGCTTAGTTAGTTTCTATCTAGGTCTCCCATTGTGAAAAAGAACTTGAAAGAATAATTGTCAGAGAGATATTTGAGCAAAATGCAGGTGTCACATCAGCCTGAAATAAAATAGATTATTAATAATCAGCACATTCAGTTCATTATTTTCATTGTTAATTTTAAAAGAGTGTAACTACCTGACAATGAAAAAGAGAATTCTTCACTTAGTAGTTTTAGAATTCAGTAAGATAGATTTTGTTTCTTCAGAAAATTGAGCCTTTTGTGTCTGTAGATGGTGTTTCTACAGCTTCCTCTAATTAAGCACTTGACTGAGAACCTAGTTAATGGGGTTCCTTTGCTATAGTTTAAAACCAGAAAATTTTATAAAGTAGACGTATATCTAGAATTTAAGAACAAAACCTTCCTTTCCCCCCATTTGGTGCTGAAGCTATAATTCAGATTTTTTTAAAAAAAAATCCTTATAGTCCTCTCTTGATTATCATAAGTACGGTCATGCATGTGCTGTTGATGTTCAGCATGTTGACTTCAGAAAACCATAACGTTTCTCCCAAGTTGTAAAACAAAGATTCATTTACACTGTATATTATTTTACAGTGTTTAGGGAACCCTGGTAAGGATTTGTGCTGCCAGCTCAAGGGAGGTAGTTAGAATCTACCAGTTGCTGCAAGGGAGAAAGATGCATAATCTCTTCCTATGTGATATCCAGCCTCAGAATCCCCGCTGGAGGGTCAAGCTAGTGCTGACTCAGCAACATGGAATTGAGCGGTCGTGTTTAGTAAAGGCTTAATACAAATAGCTTAGAATCTTGCTGGAGTTTTAATGAAAACCTACCTGCCTAGATTTTCTAGAAACCTTTTCAACCTTTGAGTTATAGTAATAATAAAAATGATTATTTAAAACAAAAAAAACTTTAATGAACAGATTATTGCATGTTACTTGTTTTATATGTCCATATTTAGCCAAAATATAGCCAGAGTTCAGACTTTTAGCAAGTAATTTAACAGGTGGTGACTACAATATGGTAGAGGTGCTACTATGTTTTAGAAAATCCTGAGTGCAATAATGTTAATAGGTCATTCTTATCAGTCTTCTGAGGTTTGTAAGATGGGATGGGTTTGCAGCAACTAGTTTACTGAAAAGCAAGAAAATCATGACTTTTATAGAATTTGTTGAATTAACAACAGGAATAAAAAATAAGCCTTACTGGGAACCTTAACCTGTGAAAAAGAATGAAGCTCATGAGAACTCTTAGAACCTGAACTATCATCTTTCTGTTATTTTACACCTATCTCTATATATACATGTATTTTATATTTATAAAATTATATACTTTTTATAGCATGTAAATAATGCTCTTTGAAGATTTTATTATTAGCATAAGGTTTTCTAAAATTAATTTGTGTAGGTTGACTATTAGCCATTTACTCTTGTTCTATTACTTTTATATAATGAGAGTTACGTATTTGTTGTTTTTAGAGTTTTGCTTTTTCCCTTTTCTTTTAAAAAGACTCAGAATATTTCATGATGGGTTTTTACATTTTAGTAGAGGCACCTTTATTTATAAGAGCAATTTATGAAGTAAATGTTTTGCTTTTTACAATGTTTGTTATTGAAGACCCATAGAAAAATACTATTTTTTTGGAGAGAGAACTATTATATTATTTGCTCAATAGATTTTAGGTAGGTAAAGAATATATCACTGTTGAGCAGGCAATAGAGTGTAAAGATTCTGTTGTAGAATGGAGAACTGACAGTGTAGAGACCACACTAGTTTATAACAATTCAAGAATTATAACTTTGTCCTTGATTGTGACTGATAAAGCTCTGCCATCTGAGATTACAGAATGATTAAAGCAAATTTTTATTTCCCCACAAAATTACTCTTCTGAACTTTATAATTTCTAAAATATCTAATGATTACTTTCTTTAAAAAATACGTAGTCATTTGAGATATAAAAGGAAAACTTAACAACACTCAAGGGAAAGTCTCCGCTTTATTGAGAAGTCAACAAATTTTTAGAAAATTTAAAGGCAGTAAGTTTGATCTTGACATGGAAGTTGTTTTAATTTAAATATGTTTTACACAATGAACTATTCTGTAGTCATGTTGCGTCTTGTTCTCATGAGACAAACAATAATTGATTGAAAAAAAAGTGGTTGGTTTTTTTTTTTTTTTTTTACTTTTAATGAACATAAGCTATGTACAACACAACACACGTAGACGAACAGAAAGGGCAACCTAGATAGAACTGACAAGCATGGAAATACAAAGGAAGAGGAACAGTTGTAAGCAGACACTAGTGATTGGAACATAGAATGTGAGAACCATGAATGTAGGAAAATTAGAACTTGTTAAGAAAGAAATGGAACACATAAATATTGACATACTAGGCATTGGAGAGATGAGATGGACTGGCATGGGCATTTTGAGTCAGATGATCATATGATATATTATTCTGGAGATGGAAAGGCGAGGAAAAATGGAGTTGCTTTCATAGTTAAAAAAGAAATTTCTAGATCTGTCTTGAAGTACAACATTGTGAGTGATAGGATTATATCCATATGCTTACAAGGAAGTCCAGTGAACGCCACTATCATTAAGATATACGCACCAACAACCAGAGCCAAAGAAGAAGAAATAGATGATTTCTACCAACTCTTACAGTCAAAGATAGATCGAACATGCAATCAAGATGCATTGATAATAATGGCCGACTGGAACGCAAACGTTGGGAATAGGGAGGAAGAATCAGGAGTTGGAAAACATGGACTTGGTGACAGAAATGAAGCTGGAGATAGAATGATTGAATTTTGCACAATCAGTGACTTATTCATTGCAAATACGTTTTTTAAGAGACATATACGCAGGTTATACACATGGATTTCACCTGATGGTATGCATAGGAATCAGATCGATTACATCTGTGGAAAAA